TGAAGTTTCAGTGTTCATACCTGGGCTGTGTGCTGCCATCTCTGGCTTGATAACTAATATCTTAGGGAAACAAAGCTGGCTGTAGGATCATTTTGGGTGATTGTTTTCCTACCTTTCTTTCTTATTTCCTTTTCTCTTCACCAACATGAGAAATATCTGGGATAAAAGTTGTTGATTAGAATTACAACATGTAAAGCTATATCCTCTGCTCCTACCTGATTAGCGAAATCTGAGAACAGAATTTAGGTGTTTGTGGAGGGGCACTGGGTGGGAAGAGAGGGATCAGGTGAGGAATGCCCTTGATAATGTCATGCTGGTCCAACAGGGGTGCAGGGGCCCAAATCCAGGTGTGGTGTGACTCTCAAACCTGTGCTCTACGCTTCTCTAGGGCCCAAACCAGAAACAAGAGTCATCCTTGATTCTCACATTTCTCCTCAACTTATTAATAAATCCAATCGGGTCAGCCTCCATAACAGGTTCCAGATTTGCCCATTTTCCTCCATCCCCACTGCCACTCATTACTCTATCTAATCAGCGATCACCTCTCTCCAGGACCAAAATAGCCTCTTTCTTCATCTCTCCGCCCCCAAGATCCTTCCTCCTCATGACAGCCAGCATGATATTTTAAAGACACAGATCAAATAGCAGCAGCCCCCTCCACAAAGCCCATTCACAGTTTCCCATTCCTCTCAGGTTGAATCCCTACCTCTTTTGCCATCTACAAAACCCACAGACCTGACCTCCACCTATGCCTGCATCGCATCTCCTAATGTCAGGTTTTCCCAGTCTCATTGCCATAAGGTAGGCACCAGTTCCTCCTACCTACAAAGCCTGCCTGGCTGCTCACCCTGCTTGCTCCTTTTCATTACATGAGCCATTTTTGTGTGTGTTCTTCAGAGAAGCCTTCTCTCTCTCTATCAGCTCTAGTTAATGTTCATACCACCTCGTCCTTGTTGCCCTCTGTTACTTCACCTTGTTCCTTTTCTTCATAGTACCTAAAATTATTTATAATTGCATGTGTGCTTACATGTTTACAATCACTTTTCCCTAATAGAGTATGATCTCTGAGAGGGCAGGAATCATATCTGTTTGTTCTCGGCGTGTACTCATAGCTCAGCATGGTGCCTGGACTCAATACATACTGTGTTCCAAGTCCCAGCTCCCCTGCTCACTAGCTACATAATTGGCAAGGCATCTAACCTCTCTGAGCCTCCGATTGCTGGTCTATACAATAATAAGAACAGTAATTCCTACATCTATGAGTTGTTCAGAAGTTTGAATGAGATGATAATGTATGCAAAACCCTTTGAAATCTGCAGAGAACATTCTAGCCATGTGATGAATTATTTATGCTCTGACTCAGGGTCAAAAATGGAGTGTAGTCACGCCGACCCTGGTTCTGACAACTGCCAGGTGCTTTCAAGGCTTCTCAATGAAGTGTAGGCTTCAGACAAATGAGAAATCTACTAGACTGCTCTCTGCAGTTGGCTGAATTTCCAGCAAGCACAGATATGATTATAATTAGAGTTTCAAGAGTTCTGTTTCATTTCAAAAGGATTCTGTGGTACAGTCTGCAGTCTACCTGAGATGTGTGTCTAGAAGCTGATTGCTGTGGCAGGTGTTTTTATTCTGGCCTATTTGCTTCTTTTCCTACAATATCAGGGGTGTCTGTTCCTATTATACTCGTTATTTTCAGTTGCCAGGTTAGAAGAGATTTTCCATATGGGAGATTTCAGATAGTGACCACTGAGCGAAATACGTAGTTCTTACCCACTCTCATCACTTCCTAAATGAACAGTTGCTTGGACAAACTTGCTTTAGCAGACCCAGGCCTTTTATTAACAGCCAGAGAATAGTCTACAATGGGAGGAATTACTCTGCACATGCATTTCTCCAAGGAAAAACATTTTTTTAGCCTGTCAAGACAGTAAAAGCTTTTATTAGAAACTATAGCAAAGTCAATTTCTCCATTCTTGCTGGTAAAGGATTCAGGACGCACCTCACTGCAGACCCTAAATTAACAATCCAATGGGAGTTGAGCTCGCTGGAAGCGGGCAGGGATGTCCAAGTGAGCAGGACTCAAATCAAAGCTGAGCCCAACATGGGCGTTTACATATTTCAAGCCCCATTTACCTGCTTATCTGCAGGGTTCTTTTGATCATAATAACTCTTCACTAGGCAGAGTGGCATTAGTGGCAAGATCCACCCAATCTTCAGAGACAGCTGACTTTTTCTTGGTTCCTTTTTATTTATCTAATGATTTCCAATTTTAGCCAGCAGTGCTAAGGAGCCACAAAAGTCATGAGTCCTTGTTGGGATTGCTCTGAGTGAAAGAAAAGCCCATATCTGTAAGTACAAAGAAGCAGGTTGGTCTCAAGCAGCACAATTCCCTTTGCATTCATCCTTCCACTCCAAGGATGAAAATAAATACACACCTGTGTTTCAAGTCCATTCTGGGTGCCAAATGCTGCAGCTCATTGATAAGACTCCATATGAAGTGATTGCTATTCAAGGTCTCAACCCAATCTCCACCGCGTTCTTCTTTGATCCTGAGCTGCTCATCCTGACCATTTGCTATAGAATCTGCTGGTTGACTTAAGAGAGGGCGCTGGTTGTTTCACACCAGGATGAAAAGTGGAGCCTTTTCCTGTAATGAGATGGAACAAAGAGTAAGCAATGTCATCAGTGAGATGACTGAGCCAGAATACAAATTCAGTTGCATCCATTAACTGTTTCCTATGGAGGTCCTCAGCAAGTGACAACTGAAGTGTCCTTCGGTTGGTTCTCCAGTCAGTTGGCTTCACGTCAGCCAGCATCTCTTATCTCCTTCCTCCAAACCAGGCTCTTATGTCAGGCACTCAAAGTTAGAGATACTAAGACCCCATTCCTGCCCTCAAGGAACTTATGCTCTAACTCTAAATTCTTAAAAAGAGGTTCCAGAAGGGTAGGTAACTTGTTCAGAGTTACACCATTTTAAGTGAATGATTCAGTATTTGAAACTTGTTTAAAAAAAAAAAAGTTTATTTTTTATTCCAAAGCTTCTCCCTTTTCAACTATACCACATTGCATCCTCTTGTCACATTGCAGTATAATTACTTATAATTATTTTCAATTGCAGTTATTAAAATGTATTTTGCTCCACCTAACTTAGCAGGTGATTAGCAGGGACATAAATCAAGGTGTAATAGTGCATTATAAATGTTGAAAATATTCCCATATATTAAACATATCTTATATATTTAAAATAAAAGTGAAATTGGTTTATCTCTGGGTGATTTAAGTGATGTTTATCTTTTTTACACTGTTGTGTATCTTAAAATTTTTCTGAAATGAGATTGCATTGCATCTATCGTTTTTGAAAAGTTACTTTTAAAATAAAACAAAATATATATGAAAAAGCTTTTTAGGCTGTAAAGTGCTAATAAGTATCAGCTACTGAATTCATTGCAATGCAATAAAACCCTCAATGCATGGGTTAGGCTAAAAGCACATCCAATCAACCTTGGTAACTGATGTTGATAAATGTCCCAGAAGTAGGTGCTCCCAGAGCAGTAAGACTGTGGTTATCAAGATCAAACTATCTCCGATTTGGTGAGCCCAGCTTTGCCCAGCTTTACCAGAGGGTACAGAACAAAGGAGGCCAGAGCCTGCTCAGGTGTTGCAGTGTCTAGAAAGGTGGAAATCTCTCCCTCTTTGTTGGCAATCTCTCATTTTATGGGAGGTTTAAAGAAATGCCCAATTGTACTATTCACATCAGTTATCAGCCACTTTCCCTCAAGGATTCCTAGGGGGAATTTGGTTTTAATGACACTGCATGTGAACTTGGGGCCCCAGCTCCTTGAGCAGGTGGATAGTAGTGAGCTTAATTCTGGGCCAGGCACCCTGGAACTTCTTTACTTTGGATGTAATCCTTCTTTTGCCTCCTTGGAAACCAACCTCTGCCAATAAGTGCTACTCCTCCTATCCAAATGAAGCCTAACAATTTCTTCTCAGGCTTACTGATCTTTGACCAACCAACCCCTTGTGTATAGAAGAGTCCCCTCCCTTTGGACAAAGGAGGTTTGGGCTTCCCTAGCAGTTTAGGGGGTCAAGGCTGGTGATAGAAACTTCTAGGGGTATTAGCCTAGAAGTTCTGAGCCTTCACACTTATCATACATCAAGGTAGCTTAAGGAATATATTCCTAATTTAATCCAAGGTTCCTTCTAGACACTTATCATATTGGTACATGCTTTCAAGCAGAGTGCTTTATAGCTGGGAGGTAAAATAATATTTTACAATAGTGTATGATTTCAAAGGCACCTTCGCTTGCACTTTTATTTCATTTAATCATCACAGCAGCCCTTTGGGAAACTTATTTACTTTGCAGTGAGGAAAACAAGGCTTTGCACTGAGGAAAACAAGGATGGGTGGTAAGTCCAGGATTCAAGGGCAAGACTCAATCCCAGGTCTTCTGACTCCAAATGTTGCGCAATTTCCGCTGCTTTTCTGCAATTAAAAATCTGACCCTAGGCCACGGGCTGAGAATGTGTAAGGTGAGAATGACCTTACTCACAGTGAAGCTGTCCTGCAGAAGGGAAGGAGAGGGGACAGGAAAGGAGCCACTGTCCACTGAGCTTCTCCTCAGTGGTGGCTGTCTTCCATGCACCATCTCCTGTAAATGTCTTCTGTGCGCTATCTCCCCATTTACAGGAGATAGTGATCAAAAAGAAATGCAAATAAAGCGAGATTCAATTACTTCCCCGAAGTCACATAGCTTACAAGTGACAAAGGTAAGCTGATAACCGGTCTTTCTGACCCCCCAAATACACAGTCTTCTTACCACACTTCATATTTCACTACAGCTCAGTGCATTTACGTACATGGTTGATTATAAAAAGCATGGCAAAGAAAAGTTCTCTGTTTTAGAGTGTTTTTAAGGACACACATATATCCCCTTTCTTTCCCCCAACCCTCCAGCACAGCTTTCCATGTGACATGGCTGACTTCTGCTCCCTTGCAGGGTGTGTGCTGGTGGTGTCTGTGATTGAACAGCTTGCTCAAGTTCACAACTCAACGGTCCAGACCTCAATGGAGAGACTGTGCAGCTACTTGCCTGGTAAATACAGAAAGGCTCACTTGGCTGTGGGTCTGCGTTTTTTTGTTCATTCATGAGCCATCACGAGTGAGTTTATACCCTACATGTGCTCACAGAGGAGAATCTGATTGTGTTATTTCTGTGAGTTGATATTCTTATGGAGCTCATAGAAATTAAAAGGAAGACACAAAAAAATACTTGAGGCAATTTTTTTCCCCTGACATTCATTTTCTCTCATGGAAGAATGAGATTGTTGTGGACATTTAGGGAATAAAATGTAGAATGGCCGATTGTTGTTTTATGTGTCACATTTATAATGATTTGCCCACCTGGTGATCATGGCCTTAAGCACCAAGAAGGTCAAAATTATGAATAATGAATAATTTTCAATGATTTATGTTAATTTAACCACATACACATTCTCAGATGCAAGCACCTCCTTTCTAACACAGAGCTTTATTTAGGCTGAAGAGACAATGGATCTTAAAACTCCAAATGGGAAAATAATCTGGGGACATTCCATTGATTTGAACTGGATTTCTATAAAATGCTTTACACATCCTGCAAAAGAAGGAAATGATTGGTGGTTTAAACAAATTGTATAGTTTTTTACACTCTCAGCAGAAAGAAAATATTGACGCTATTTCTCTTATAGGATACTGTTAGGTGTACAATCACTGTGAATGAACTTCTTTGAGAGTCAAATTTTCATTCACTTAATGTTAAGGAACTAATTCTTCAAAGATGCCGACATTATTATTTTTAAGTAAAAGGTAGTTGGACCTATGACGATTTTCTATTTGATTTAACAGACGTTGTGTCAATGGCATCAAAACATTTTCGGAAAATTTATTACATGCAGTCTCAATGTATACTCATAAGCTCATTTTTTTAGAATTCAAAAATAAAGACTGGGAGAGGATAATACACAAATACGTGTGTTTGCAATGTCCCAGTTTGACCATTGCTAAGATTTTGACGTATTTTCACAGAATTAGAAGGTAACAAATAAATTTGAAACGCCCTTTGGCCTCCCCCACGCCCAGTTACATTTTCCTACCACCTCCCTTGATGGAACCACTCATAGGAACTTGATGGGCATTGGGTTTGGCTAATTTTATACTTTTACATTCACTTGTATGAATCCATAGACTATGTGTAGTATTGTCCGTGGATAATTTTTTAACCTTTTCTTGGTAAAAGGAAACAAATTTTAAAAAAACACAATAAATGTAGAGCTTTATCAGTTATTGAAAGGTGAACACCCTTGTAAACATAGCACAGGTCAGGAAGGAACAGATAGGTAGCTGCTGCAAAAGTCCCATCCACATGCCCCAACCCATCATAAATTCCTCCTCCCCCCTAAAAACACAACATCCTGAGGATGACTATGATCATTTCCTTGCATTGCTTTATAGCTTCATCACCCAACTGTGTATCTCCAGACACCATAGTCTTGCCCAGTTTTTGAATTTTTGATGTGTCTTTTAAGTCGATTTTAATCTACCAGTTTCCTTTCCATCCCTTCCTTTTCCTTGTAATTTAGCTGTGGAATCTGTCGTGTAGAGTTTCTGCATTTTGCTGATGGCATCCCTGTGGTATGATTGAATATGTTTCTCTGTGCTCTGTATTTCCTGAAAATTGGCAGCTAGATCCAGAGGCTTGATGAGACTCCAGTTTGATTTCTTTGGCAAGGCTATAAGTGATGGTGTTTTCTTTCAACAGGAGGCCATCATAAGTGGTTTTCTCTTTTTTATTTTTGTGATATTAGCAGCTGTTGATGCTCTATGACTAGGTCTATCAGTTCATTGGAGGTTGCAAAATGGTGCTATTCTCATCTATCAATTATATTTCCTTTAGTAGTTGAAATATATTAGAGATTCCCTCATCATCATCATAGTTGAGGGATGCTTTTCCCCACAGTTCCTAATGGTACTATTATTCATTCTAAGAAAGGCAGGATAAATGCTTGATTCTTTTGTTTTACTTGCCAGTTTTCAAGTAACTCATTGCCTTTATAGTATCATCCCAAAGTAGTCACTTGGTTTTCTTTAAAGTGTCATTATGAACTCATGAATTTATACACATTTGATGAGTTTCAGACTGCTTCAATTATTATCCCTTTAAAGCTCAAATTCTCTCATCTTTGACCAGTAGGAACTTGTCCTTTTGACATAAATCTAAGTAGTCTTTGTAGCTTCCTCACTAACTAGTGTGACAAGTTGTTCCAGCCTGTCTTGTACATTTCCACCCCCAGGCTTGAAATCAGTCATTTCTCTTAGAAGCTCTGGTTTCTTTTAGTGGGAAATAGTATTAAGACCATGATCTGGGTGCATAGGAATTCTTTCTAGACTTCTTCTGTTGACAGTGATAGAAAATATGCATATATACATTTACATATATTATTTTAATATAGAATATATGAGTTCATTCTGACACTTCAAATTCAAATTCAGAACTGCAGGATTTTTTTTTCTTAGTTTCTTCTGTATCATATCTGTATCGTCTTCTTTCCACACTCAAAGTCCTAACTCTCAAGGACAGGGGGATTGCTAGAATTAAAATATCTCATAATTACTCATTTACCTATCCTTCTTTACACATATGACAGCCTCATTTCTCCATTATTTGAGTATATGGCCATTACGTACAATATATACATTCCTTTTCATCTTCGTTTAGTTTTAGTTCCATCAGCAACTGTAAGATTGATGTTCACCACCAGCCCTTATGCAGGTGTCTCTCTAGTGGAGGTGCTGTCTAAAGTTCATTCCTCAGGAAGGACTCATGGGAACAATATTCCCTGAATTCTTGCATCTTGATAACAAGCTGGCTTGTCCTTTATATTAGAAAGTCAGTGTTTCTCCAGATATAAAAATCCTTGGCAGGGATTTCCCTGGCAGTCCAGTGGTTAAGGCTCCGCACTTCCATTGCAGGAGGTTCGGGTTCAGTCCCTGGTCGGGGAACTAGGATCCCACATGCCACAGAGTGTGGTCAAAAAAAAAAAAACCAAAAAAACCTTGGCACAGTTTCTTTCCCTTAGTGTCTTAAATATGTTATTTAAAAGAGTAATGATAATCTAATTTTCTTTTTCTTATAAGTCACTTTGCCTAGTTTAAAGGATTTTTTTTTCTTCTATAAAATTTAGTCATCTAACTAGACTATATCTTGGTGTCGGCTGTTGTATATTGATGTTCTCAGGCATGCAGTGTGCTCTTATTCTCTCATTTTGAAACTAATATGTGGTTTCAAATACATTTTTTATCATTTCAGGAAAGTTTTTAGTATTTGGTCAGTTTTCTTGATTTGATTTTCCTTGTCAGGGTTTCTAATAACCATATTTTAAATCTTCTTTGCCTGTATTCACGATTTTGCCTATCTCTTGAATGAATACTTTTTATCACTTCATTTATTATTTATCTTGAAAGTTTTCCTCTTTTTCATATTCTATTTCTCTTAAAACGTCAGCTATTGTATTCCCTTCCTCTTGTGTTCATTCTAATATAGATTTCATTACTTTTATAATCTTGTTTTCTTCCCTGAGTTCTTTTATTCCATACCTGAGTTTTTCCAGTTCTGATTTCTGCTGTTCTTTCATATCTTATACCATTTTATTAATGCTTCTCTCTCATTTTGAAATACTGTTATGTTTTAATCCTTTTTTTGGCATGATTTTCTGGCATGCTTTTGCTAGCTGTAAGGATGTGATTCTGTTCCTTATTCTTTTTTTTTTTTCTTATAATAACTTTGTATGGGAGTTGACCTAGATACATATCTGTTGCTCATTTTTATGTGAAATTAGTTTTCAAAAACTCTTAGAAAGAGAAGTGGCTCAGGGTAGCTTCTCCAAATGCACAGAACTCCTTCTTCCACTGTTTTTGTGTAGTGTTAAAAAGTAAGTAAATAAACACATGGCTGCTTGCATTTTGAAATTTTCTGATTCTGTCCCTCTGCACACTTTTACCTGGATTTTCTCTTTACTTTGCTTCTATCCAACTCAGTTTTGATTCCAAACCCACTAGTTTTCCCTCAGTGTGGACCCTGTCCTGGAAGGGAGGTCTGGTAGATCATTTTCTAGAACTTGTAAATGCCTGACCACTCAAACCCCTTAGTCCTTATAACCTTGAGTCCTTTGCACTCATCTGCTACTGCAGTGGGCAAAACCCCTCCCAGTTTCAGCTGAAGTTCTTCATTGGCCCACCACACTTTGTCGTCAATACCTGTGGGCTATTTGAAGATTCTGCTATTCATTCCTTTGCTTCCCTTTACTTTCTCCCACACTGATGCTGATAACCCTTAAGTCTCATGATTGTGCGTGGTTTATCGTTGCCTTAATTGTATTCTGGGGCTCCTGGAGATATCTAGTTTTGTTGTAAGTATTGTCCATGGGGTTTTGGTTTTCATATCTAGAAGCTGTATATTTTTTTTTGTAGAGATTCAGTGAAATTCCCAAACTCTGCTGCCTCCACCATCATATTTCCAGAATCCTCCCTTGTGGGGACTGTAGTTTTACATCAATGTTTACTGTATATATGACTCTGCAACTTCTGTTTTTCACTAACCATTATGTTTTTGAGATCTATATGTGTCAAGACATATATAGACTTAGGTCAAGCCTCTTAATTACTCTATAGTCCTTCACCATATAAATGTCCCATATTTTATTTATCCATCCCCATTTTTATTGGACATTCAAAATCTATTATAAACCTTGCTTTATATTTTCACATCTCTGAATTAGAGAAAGAAGAATGTTATTACCATTTTACAAAAAGGAAGAAAAATTAAAAAGTCATAATCATCATTAAGACTTGTTTTGATTGTTGTCATTTCTGTGTAATAGACCACACTGACAGATATCACCATTTTTACCTTGAGTTTGATTTTCTCTTTTTAAGCAAAGTTGTGTTGTTCAAAGATGAAAAGCTGAGTAAAAATCTTATTTCTCAGATGATCCTGTCCCAATGTACCAGCAAAATACAAAACAACATGAACCAAGATTGCTGGTGTTCAAGGTTCCACCTTGGTTCCTTTTGACTCATAACAGAAAATTTTAGTCTGCTGAGGTAAAATGAGAGGTTGAAAAGTCAGATGCTGGTAAAATAGGAGCTAGCACTTTGCCAAGGGAAGGAAAGTTGGTATTTCAGGTTTTCAGTGGAGGGTTACCTTTTAATTGGAGGCATTTCAAAGGATTAATAAGGCTATTTGGAGTTATTTTCATTTTATTAATTAATATTCACCTCTAGATAGAAATAAAGTACTCAGTTCAGATTAAAGGCTCTTTCACCTGACAGACATAAGGGCAGGGTTGGCGTTACTGTTTCCATTTTGTGGATAGGAAAGAGGGCACAGAATGGTCACATGAATTGTATAGAGTGACAAAGATAGTCTGACCCTTAGCTAAAGATTTCTCCTTCTAGAAAACATAATAGGCCTGGTCCACAGTGACTGCCTGCACCCATGAATTGTATGAGTGACAAAGATAGTCTGACCCTTAGCTAAAGATTTCTCCTTCTAGAAAACATAATAGGCCTGGTCCACAGTGACTGCCTGCACCCAGTATTGCCTTCTGTCTGGTGAGAATGGGAGAGAGGGGAAGTCAAAATATGCACAGCAACAAACAGTTATTATTTTTAAAATTATTTTTAAGTAGTACTGCTTTTATCTCCAAAGCTAAACAAGTATATAAAATGTAACCTTAGCAGAGAAACCATGCAAGCAACATTCTTGAGAATAATCACTCAGGAAATCATGCGGGGCTTTCTGATGCCTGGGAACACAATTTTTTCGAATTGTGCAAAGTATTTCTGACCTTCAGTTTCACCCACTGCATTTGCCTGTGGCTCTCACTAGTAAACACCTTGGAAGAATCTCAGAATTGTTAATGGAAAAATGATTAATGGAATCATTCTCACCAGGGGTCAGTAGACTCATATGCCCTCAGGTTCTTGCTAGAATTTCAGTTTCTTGGGTCACCTGTGCAGAAATCTTATCTCCATGGAGTATGATAGCTAAAAACTCATGTCGTCTTAAAATGAGGAAGGCAGCTCTCCTCACATTCTGTAGGTTCTGAAAATCTACATGCAGCCCAGAACACATAGCTACAAAACTATCTCAGTGGTCAGTTCACCTCACTGTGCTGCAAATTTCTAATGAGTAGTTAGTGTATACCTGCCATACCTGAGGTAGATGAGGCATCAAATAAAATGCCCTAAGTATGTTGAAATGCATACTACAAATAGTTTGGGCTTTTGGGGTAGAAGACTTTAATCTCTTACTGAACCACTGTGCTCTTGGGCAGCCTTACCTCTCTAAACCTCAAAGTTCCTTCCCATAGAATGAGGGTAAAAATAACCACCCCCTCAAAAGTTTCTTATGAGAAACGAAGTGCTGATAAGCATAAAAGTGACTTACAACTTGGGATGTTCTAGGTTTCATTTAGACCCACATATGTGGATACACCTATTGTTCCTTTTTTAACCTTCCTTTGCCCTTGGGAATGGCCATACTTTTTTTTTCCCTATGCTGTTCCAAGTCCTTTTGATTCTGTAGAAATTAAATGCTCTTGTACCTTCCTGGTCACAGGCAAGGTTTAACTGTATACATTTTATATCAGATAGGTTACTAGCACTATGTTAGTGCCAGTCTTTTCTTCAGTTGTAGCAGTAACAGGTTACCATCTGATCATGGCTGACTGGGCCCTGTCTGGCTTTTTCTAGAGACTTTGCCTCTCTCTGCTCTGCACCCTTCTGTGTTGATCTAAAGTTTAGCTCTCAGAGGCCCGTCTCTTGTCCCACATTAGCCATCTCTGCAGGAGCCTCTCATTCTTAACCATCACAGAATCTGTTTGAGAAAACTGATTGTTCAGATGGCCCTGCACAGAGGGTGAGGAGAACATTGCTGCCACTCACTTCAACTTGAGCAAAATAATGTTCTATAAAAAATACACACACACACATGCAAATACCTCTTATTTTACCAGAAGAAAGAAAAATGTTCTCTGCCTTTCAGGCAGCACTGCAAGTATATCAAAGAACACCCTGGTGTCGATTTTTAAATTGCTCTGCTCTCGGCTAAACTAGTTTTACATTAACGATACTGGAAACTCATTTCCAAAGTGCTTTGCAAGTTCACGTAATTTTGAATGTCAGTTACATAATCCTCCAAGCTTCCAAGATAGTGAAGGGAATTGAACTGAATCCTACTCCTACATTTTTCAGATGAGGAAACTGAAACCCAGAAGGGGAAGCAATCTGACCAAGGTCAGAAGCCAGTTAGCTGGTGCTGAAACCCTGGTGTCTGAGACTTGGGACATCAGAGCTTTTTTGACACCCCTAAAGAGGAACACCCAAGGGGTGCTGTTTTTATTTTATAACAGTTGCATTGATATTTAATTCACATGCCATTCAATTCACTCATTTAAAGTGTATAATTCAGTGGTTTTTAGTATATTCACAGAGTTGTGCATCCATCAACACCATTAATTTTAGAACATTTTCATTATACCAAAAAGGACCTCCATGCCCCTTAGCCGTCACCTCCCAAACATCCATTCTCCCCAGCGCTAAGCAACCACTAATCGACTTTATGCCTCTGTGAATTTGCCTATTCTAGGCATTTCATATAAATGGAATCGTAGAAACATGTTTCTTTCACTTAACATAATGTATTTAAGTTCATCCATGTTGTAGCATGTATCGGAAAGTCATTACTCTTTATAGTTGAATAATATTTCGTTGTGTGTAGATAGCCCATTCTGTTCATCCACTCAGTAGTTAATGGCCATTTGGGTTGAGGTATTTCCACTTCTTTGCTATTTTATATAATTCCTCTATGAACATTCATGTATAAGTTTTTGTGTGGGTATATAAATATTTGAATTCTTTTGGGTCTAGGAGTCGGCTTATTGGCTCACATAGCAACTCAATATTTAACCATTTGAGGAACTGTCAGACTGTTTACCAAAGTTGCTGTACCATTTTATACACCCACCAGCAGAATATGAGGATTCTGATTTCTCCACATCCTCAACAATACTTGTTATTATCCTTCATTTTTAAAAAATAAAAGTAACCACCTCTTTTCTAATATAAATTTATTTATTTTATTTATTTATTTTTGGCTGTGTTGGGTCTTCATTGCTGCACACGAGTTTTCTCTAGTTGTGGTGAGCGGGGGCTCCTCTTTGTTGTTGTGCGCGGGCTTCTCATTGCAGTGGCTTCTCTTGTTGCAGAGCACGCGGGCTTCAGTAGTTGTGGCACACGGGCTCAGGAGTTGTGGCTCACGGGCTTAGTTGCTCCACGGCTCCACGGCATGTGGGATCTTCCCAGACCAGAGCTCGAACCCGTGTCCCCTGCATTGGCAGGTGGATTCTCAACCACTGTGACCCCAGGGAAACCCTTATCTGTCATTTGTATTCTCACATATCATTGTGGGTGTCAAGTGGTATCTCACTGTGGTTTTTATTTACATTTCCTTTAACAGCTGATGTGTTTCATGTGCTTATTGGCTATTTGTATAACTTCTTTGGAGAATATCTATTCAGATGATTTTTGAAAACGTTTGGTACAATTCACCAGTGAAGCTATCTGGTCCTGGGTTTTTCTTTATGGGACATTTTTCATTACTAATTTAATCTCTTGTATGTCTATTAAGATTGTATATTTATCCTTGAGTCAGTTTTGGTAGTTTGCCTTTCATTTGCTGCCATGCAGATGTCATAGTATTTCCTTATCGTTCTTTTTATTTCTGTAAAGTCAATAGTAATGTGAGATTAGTTTTAAGCTCATACTTCAAAAGCATAATGTGTTTGAAGTCTCATGCTTTATTGCAAAAACAAGTCCCATGAAACTATCTATTTTATTATAAAAGTAGGGTTTCCCTGGTGGCGCAATGGTTGAGAGTCCGCCTGCCGATGCAGGGAACGCGGGTTCGTGCCCCGGTCCGGGAAGATCCCACATGCCGCGGAGCGGCTGGGCCCGTGAGCCATGGCCGCTGAGCCTGCACGTCCGGAGCCTGTGCTCCGCAACGGGAAGAGGCCACAACAGTGAGAGGCCCGCGTACCACAAAAAAAAAAAAAAAAAGTAATATTTACATTATTTACCATTGAGTAAAATTGAAGCACCAGAGAGTTTTCCCATATTTATCCTGAATAGTGCCTATTCTCCAAGCAACTGGTAGCCCAGTTTGAGGTAAATATGACAAGAAAAATTTTTCTCAGGGAGGGTTTCCCATCTGTCCCCAGGACAGTCCATCCGTCCTAACCATGCAAAAGCCCTCCATAGAATTACCAGGGTTCCATAGTCGGCTGACAAACTGGAGAAACAGGACCAGAGATTTAACAGGTTTCCTTGTCCAAACAGACCAATCCATAAAGCCTTCCTGTATTTTCATAACAGGGGAAGCAGGAGAAGGAGGTTGTCTAGGCCATGGGTTTGCGTGTGTGTGTGTGTGTGTGTGTGTGTGTGTGTGTGTGTGTGTGTTCTCTGGTGTAGATGGCAATGCAGAGACACCTGTGACAGTTAGTATCCTTTTATGTCTGGAGTACCAACAGCAAAAATTAAATAGCCAAAGTAAAGTCTTTTTTCCCCAAATGAACATCAGAGAAGAATATTTTTAACAAAGCAATATTTCAGATTATTTACTTTAAAGCGAGTCCTGTTTCTGTCATCATCAACAAATGAGATCCTTTCCAACATTCAGACATTCCCTGCTGTACAAAAGAAAATGAGACTCCAGAATTTAACTGTATTTTTATCAAAAATTAGTGGTCTTTAACATCTACAGTAAACAAAGTACCATTTACATAAGCCTGAGATGGAAATGATATTTTCATGGGTATATTAACTGTAACATTTCTCCCAAACCTTTACAATTAATCACTTGAATTAATAATAAATCAAGCACTTAGCTTCAGTTCCTAGTAAAGATCATTATTAACTCGTGTGTTAAATTCATCATAATGAAAAATAATTTATTTCCCCTGATTTTTCTTAGAAAAACTGTTCTTGAAGACCACCTGCTATTTAGTGGTAGGCATATTTGGACCAGACATCATAAAACTGTGAGTATGCCAGCACATTAATCTGATTTGGTTGCTGGGACATGATGAGGGAGAAAGCAGGAAAACTGGGAGGTAGCTGGCTCCATTTCCAGTTGGATGTACTTTTTGTAAAAGGGCGTAATATCTATCCAGTTCTTGTTAATAGTGGAAAATTCAAACCTGACTCAGATCCTTTGTGATCCTAGGCAAAGGCTCCCTTTGAATTATAGTGTGGCAACCTGGCTCAGTTTCTCTCCAAGAGGATTTCAGAAGGAATTTCACCAATAATGCCAACAGATGACAAGATCCTAGTGGCGGGACATGGGAATTTGACCCTTTCTCCTGAGCTTGCCCTACACTCCCTCCTGGGTTCTAGGGCCACGTGCTTCTCAGGTTCTTTCCTTCTCTCCTCCCACCTGCTGGTTTCCTGGCCTTGTCTCCAGCCCCACCCCTCAAGGTCCTGTATGTGCGCCATTATCATTACCTGTCTGCTTCCTTTCTTTCTTTTCTCTTTTTTGAGCTCAGAGCACTGGATCAGATAAATCATATTCCTGTTCATGGCACTTTCTCATCAAGGATTCATACATGGCTTTCTTGTATTTCTTATTTAGTTATTTACCTAGTGACTTTGAATACTGTAATTAGCTTCCAAATTACCACCCAAGGCAAATTCTAGGTCCTTGGCAATAACTTACCCTGACCACACGGTCCTTCTCTTCATTCTCAAGCTTTTCTCCACCCAAGTAATAAATCCCATGTTTATCTTTCTCTTGTTTCCTTTTTCTATAGTCTTTATATATATGTGTATATTTTTATTAATATGATAAATTATAATCATAAAAATAATATATGATAATACAATAAATAACTATTAATATGTTTATTTTATCTATTGCTTTAAAGCATATTTTAAAATTCTGGTTATTTCTTTACTTTATGAAGAGAGTATCACATTGTTCATAATCTTTGGGAACTTACCACTTAAATTTGTATGTCTAAGATTCATCCATAGATTTGTGTCACTGCTGTAGTTCATGCACTCTGACTGCACACAATATTCCATTGTGTCTCTACAAGAGTCTATTTCTTCACTCTCCCATTGTCGGGTGTTTGGCTTGTTTTCTGGTTTTTCACTGTTCACATGTGGCACTTGTGAACAGTGCTACTCTGAACATTCTTACATGGTTCCTATTTTATATGCCTAATATTAGCCTCAGAGCAGAGTGGCTCAGAGAAGCTAACCCCACAGAAGGGTAGCCTGCAGTTACAGAATTCTGAAGTCAAAAGGAACTTAAAATGATACAGACCCGAGGGATGATCAGTGTTCCATCGTGCCGTGCACCTGCCTCTATTTATATTGCCCTCCCTTTACTGTGGTCAGTGATTTTTCCCGGGCCCTGGACTGGGAGTTTTTGGAAGGCAGGGACCCCTTCTTCTTAGCTCATATCTCTATTACTGCCACTGCCTCCTAATAGGACCCCAGCCCTGCAGGATTGCCCATTGCCTTGCAAGTCCATAATCCACATCCTAGCTGGCTAGATAGCTTTTTAATGCAAAACTAATTATGGCAATCTCCAACATAAAATTTTCACACCCTTTGCAGGATTCCTTAGCCCCCTACACAAAGCTCTTTATGAACTGACCCCTGAGGACATTTTCAGACTCATCCCTGGCTGCTCCACAGCACACCATGCTCCAAACCACTTGTAATTCTCCCCACACATCAGAAGGTTTTTGCCTCAGGACCTTTGCATGAGCTGTTCACTCAGCTTGGCACATCCAAAACCTGTACCCCAAACAAATCTTACTTCTTTGGACCTCAGCTCCAGGGTCATTTCCTCTGGAAGCTTTCCTGACCCTCCCTAGGCTAAGATAGATACCCCCAACACACACACACAGACACACACACACACTCTTCCTATCCTGTGCAAACCCCTAGCACTTGCAAACAGCACTTATCATGTCTGTTTGTACTTTAATTCTCCATTTACTTTTCTGAGTTGCTAACTAGATTGAAAGACTTCTGAGAACTAAGACTACACTTATTCATCTTAAGCAAAATACTGAATATGTGGAAGGAAGGAGGGAAGGAAGGAAGGAAGGGAGGGAGGGAGGGAGGAAGGGGAAGTGGGGGGCTTTGTATCTCCAGGGCTTGGTGCAATACTTGAGCATAGAAAGCCTTTAGTAAAAATTTGTTAAATTGATTAATTCTTTATAAAAATAAAATTATCACTACAGATGAACTAAAGAAAAGAAAACAATTTAGCCTATTCAATGAATCTGTTCACACACCTAGTCTGGGGGAAACATCATCTTGGCCAGAGAGGTTTTCCTGGGCCTAGATCAGGGAACCAGAGAAGTAAGTGGAAAACAGTCACAGAAAAAATGGGCCTGGCAAGCCACTGAAAGAGGCTGAATAGGTGGTGGGGAGGGGAAGAAAGTTTTTCCTTTGAGAGTCATAAGTGACTAATTCTCATTAGTATGGGGGAGGCCACTTTGAAGAAAGATAGATATAGTAAATGATCCCCCTTTGTGGTTCCGTCCACTATTAGTTTTGTTTGTGTGTAATTTTCCAGGACCCATATTAGTTGTTTGCTGATAGCAATTTCTCTTCCTATGGTGGCCTCTTCTTACAGCTTATTTTAATCAATCATGTGCAATTCTGGGCTGATGTAGACCCTGAACCTGACAACCTTATGATTTAGTTTTACCTGAATTTCAGGCTTCCAATACTAAATGTTTCCTAACCCAGAGGGCATCCCTCCTCATTATTTCACAGGTCAATTCTCAATGATTCGTGGACTAAGCTTTCAGCAATTACATTTCCTACCCACAGGCGAACCACAGGATCTTGTTAGGAAGTGGGACACCTGAGTACTCGGGCATTCATTAGCCCAAGAACCTGGGTCAGGCAGGGCGGGGCTACTTCCGGGAACAACCAAGCCTACCAAGTGACCACATGCTCCGTCTTCCTTGTCTTGACTTCTGTTGTGCCAGAGGTTGCCATAGCAAAGCTGATGCTGGTCTTCTGTTCATCTCACCTTGCTTCATGGTATCTATTTATGCTCTCAATCATAAAATCTTATATTCCAAACTTAGGGGTTTTCAGAAATCAGGAGAGGCCTAAACTACTAACATGTTTAGAAGAAAAATGCAAAACAGGGTTTAAAACAATTTTGGTACAACTTAAAGGTAACTAACGTATTTTTAAATAGCAAAAATATAAAGTACAATAATACAACTGAGCCATTGACAAGGTAATGATGAGATTTATAGAAATGATTAAATTCCTAGTACACTCCAAAGTGTGCGGTCCAGAAGTGAGATAAAAGTGTTAAGTCGTATGAGGAAGATCTTCTTTCAATGCTGTGAGTGTATCTCTGTGGTTATATATTAATGTATAAATTTTCCTTTGAAAGTGATGTCAAAGGTCTAAATCTGAGAGCTTCCATGTGTGAAAGGCTCTGTCCTTACTCCCTGCCATAGGCTATCACTCTACCTGTCTGTTCAAACTTAACCCTGACCGTGTTCCCTTCTTTTGATTTATGATGATGGCAGTCATCAGCATTGACTTCCTTCTACCATGATCCTAATTAAACTTGTTAGTTAGCTCTGCCGAATGTGTTGAAGCCTCCTCCCCACATGACTCACTCCTGTACAACTCTGTTACCTGTAAAGGTAGTAAAGGATGTCAATTGAAATGTGACCATTTTAGTCTTATTTGCAGCTCCGGGAAAAAGAAAGCAATGTTGGATGGGAATAGTTATTAAGGGTTTGGAGATTTCCTAAGGATTTCAGAAATTGTGTGTAGCCTAAGCCTTCTGTCCCAAGGCTGGTTAAGAGCACACATGCTACTTTGCCACTTCGCTGCATCTTGCACATTGTCATGGTCTTACACCTGTCTGGATGTCTGAGGCTCAGCACTTTCTATTCTTGTGCAAAGGAGTGCTTCTCAATTCCAGTCTTTTGATGATAAAGCTCTGATCTTAGAGGATTGGGGAGGGAAACCACATACCCACTTCCCCTCTTCTATTTTTCAGTTCAGAGAACACAAGTCTCACTCGCTGAATGAGGGGCCCCCATCCCCACTCCCATATTCAAGTTCACTTACTTGAAATTTTGCTCTGTTTGCAGGGGAAAGAGAATAGATCTTGGACACCATATGATGAGTTAGCTCTGGTGGTTCTGAATTGCCACAGATGGGATCTTGGCCTTAGGTTGAAAAAAAAAAAAAAGATTAAGCAGAGCCCTATTTATTACCCTCCTGAGTCCACAAAATACCAGATCTCCCCAAAGACAGCAGTCATCAAGTAAATAAATGAACCATTAAGTTGAGAACAGATGTGTGAAAACAGCCACCCTCTCCTGATTTACTGACCCTTGGTAGACATTACTCTGGTAATGGACCTTGTGTGTCACAAACTGCTTGTTCCACAGCTTAGTCACCTTTACGTTACCTTCCCCTCCACCTCCTATGAAGGAACCCTGGGGCCAAGCAGATGACTCTCATGATGAGCTCGCTTTCCTGTCTTAACTCAGGAAAAAAAAAAAAAAAAAAAAAAAAAAAAAAAAAAAAAAAAAAAAAAAAAAAAAAAGCTGAAAAGCCATCTAGCCAGTCACACTGTTGAAAAGCCATCTAGCCAGTCACACTGTTAGTCTCATTCAGCTGGAATGAAATTTGAAAGCCATGATCCCAGCCTATGTTTTCACATACTAGTGACCATCAAAATATTTTTCCTTTTTTTAATTGAAGTATAGTTGACTAACAATATTGTCTTAGTTTCAGGGGTACAGCAAAGTGATTTGGTTATACATATATTCTTTTTTATTATTTTCCACTATAGTTTATTACAAGATATTGAACATAGTTCCCTATGCTACACAGTAAAACCTTGTTGCTTATCTGTTTTATATATGGTAGTGTGTATCTGTTAATCCCATATTCCTAATTTATCCCTCCCCCTTCCCCTTTGGTATCCATAAGTTTCTTTTCTATGTCTGTGAGTCTATTTCTGTTTTGTATATAAGTCCATTTGTACTATTTTTTAGATTCCACATATAAGTTGTATCATATAACATTTGTCTTTCTCTCTCTGATTTACTTCACTTAGTATGATAACCTCTGGGTCCATCCACGTTGCAGCAAATGGCATTATTTCATTCTTTTTTATGGCATTGTTTAATTCTTTTTCATTCCATTGTGTGTGTGTGTACACACACACACACACATAACACATCTTCTTTATCCATTCACCTGTTGATAGACACTTAGGTTGCTTCCATATCTTGGCTATTCTAAATAGTGCTGCTATGAACATTGGAGTGCATGTGTCTTTTCAAATTAGAGTTTTCATCTTTTCCTGATAGATGCACAGGAATGGGATTCCTGGATCCCATCAAAATATTTAAAGATCTCTGAGATGGACTGTCTTTCTCCGATAGGCTTTTCATTAATATTGGGGCAGTTCTTTCTGCAAGAAGGTTCATGATATAAATTAACACTCAAGGCCCCTCTTCGCACTTTTTGCTTGGCAGTCCAAAGTTAAGATTATTAGAGCTTTTAAAGATGTCTCAATGTTCAGCAACTATTAAAAGTCCTACGTATGCACACTAAGTAAAACCAGGATGCGTTTCTGTTTTATTTTGTTTTGTTTGCAGCTTGCTTTTGTTTTACCTCTCTAAATCTCCTTTTTTATTCTGCATGTCCAGGTAGAAAACTCCCTTGGAGGAGTGGACAACCCAATGGAGGGTCGCTGGAATGGTTATTGGAGAAATAAAGCAGAAATAGGAGTGAAGCCAGGGAGCAGATCCAATGACTTACATCCAGGCCCTGGTCACAGGGCCAAGCATTGCCAGGCTCACCAGTGCTTCTCAAGGGCTGGCCCATGTGTGGGCTGTGACTGCATTCAGTCAAAAAGAACAAAAAGACAGAAACAACTTAGCTTTGCTTGTGAAGTAGAAGGAAGAAAGAGGAGGAGGGTCAGGGAGAGAAGAATGGTGGTAGTGATTGTAGTAGCTATAGAGATAGTCACTGTAATAGTTGGAGGGGGAGGGTGTTAGAGTAGATTTATTACAAAGGCACCTAAAGCGTTAGAGTAGATTTATTACAAGGGCACCTAAAGCATGTCATGGAACTTAAAGACAGGAAAATATCCAGGCTTCAGATAGAGCTGGAAACAGGACTGGGAAGCCACCAGGAACAGAGTCTGTTCCTCACTGCACATGTTGGGTTCTGCCCCCTGAACCCCATCCTACAGACTAGCTTTCCAAATGCTCTGTCCTCATGGCCGGAAATGACATTACAGTCCCCAGTCACTATAGGTCCTGCTATTCTTGGAACAGCCCAGAATGAAGTCAGACTTTTCAATACCAATTCCAAATTTCCCTGAGAGAGAATCTGATTGGTCCTACTTGAATTGCAGTCTAATGAGGACCAATCAACTGGCGGGAGATATGAAGTATATACACAGTTGCCAGGAACCCACCCCTACAGGTGAAGGGGGACAGTTAAGTGATCTTGTGAGTTGAGAAGAAACCCCTTAAAATAGCTTCTAGAATTGATAACTGTCCTTCCAAGATTAATCTCTAGATATTACCAACGTATGTTTCTGGAGTCTTTGTTTTTGTTGTTTTGATTTGAGTTTGAATCAGTAGCTTACTTGGAAAAGTTACTAAAAGTCCACACATGCCTTGTTCCTTCATTTGAAGCAGCACATTATACTCATTCTTCTTGGTTTAAGAGTGTTGGGGGTGGCATGTTGAAAATGAATATGGAAGGTTTGTTTTAACCCCTTCAAACCCAGACATAAACCAAAATGTTTGAAGAGCACTATCCTTACACCATACTCAGGGGAAAAAGTCAAAGATAAATATATTTACTTTAAAAGGAAAAGAGGTGATTTGGATTACATCTAAGAAAATAATTTTAGGTGTTTAAGGCTATATCAAAGATTTTTTGCTATAAGGCTCAGCAAACATTAAAATGTTGTTCTGGGGCTTCCCTGGTGGTGCAGTGGTTGAGAGTCTGCCTGCCAATGCGGGGAACACGGGTTCGAGCCCTGGTCTGGGAGGGTCCCACATGCCTCCAGGCAACTGAGCCCATGTGCCACAACTACTGAGCCTGAGCTCTAGAGCCCGTGAGCCACAACTACTGAGCCCACGTGCCACAACTACTGAAGCCCATGCACCTAGAGCTCGTGCTCTGCAACAAGAGAAGCCACTGCAATGAGAAGCCCACGCACCACAACGAAGAGTTAGCCCCCAATCGTCTCAACTAGAGAAAGCCCGCGCGCAGCAACAAAGAGCCAACACAGCCAAAAATAAATTAATTAAATAAATTAATTTAAAAAAATAATGTTGTTCCCATGAAATTACACCTCTGTCCACTTTTCCTTTCTCAATTTTATTTGCGGCTTCTCCTGAAAAGCATCACAGTGCCCGTGTGAGAGGCCGGCTCACAGCTCAGTGCTGTGAGTCCTCTCTCCCCACCCCCAGGACCTTATTCTAAAAGTAGGAGAAAGCAAGTGGCAGGAAATCGTTATGATCCAGCAGCAGCATGGAACTGGACTCAAAGGCCATACTAGAATTCATTCTGGGAGTTGACCTTCTTTTGAAATAGCTTTTGTTTCCTAATGCCTGAGAGCTTTTAAATATCCTTTGTTTTGCCCTATTTCCCTCCAGGCTCAGAGCAGATGTGAATGCTGATGTGGTGTGTCACACCCTGGAGTTTTGTAAACAGGACCCTGGCCAACCCTTGTGTCACCTCTATCCCCTTCCTAAGGTGAGTGCTTTTTCATTCTGAATGTCAGATTATGGTGATATGCAAGCCCTTTGGAAATCTGGTAAAGGGAGGTTCAGCTTCACTGGCTCCGTGGTCTGGGGACAGGGACCGGAAAAATGACATTTTCCATTACATCACCTGGAATAATATTCCCAAACTTCAACTTAGATCCCTCCCCCATGCCACCAAAGAATGTCTTTGCTGTTTATTTTAGACTGTAATCTAGAGCTGGGCCGGCAGTACATAGGAAATCTGACCAGCCAAGGTGAGAAGAGGTTAAATCCCTCTCTACCCCTTAAAACTCAAGCAAGTTACTTTTATAGAGTGACCAACTCATGCAGTTTGCCCAGGACTTTCCTGGTATAAGCAGTTGGAAGTCCCACATCCTGGGAAAACTTGGGCAGTTGTTCCCCCTAGTCTAAGCTTTATTGTTCTCACCCATAAAATTGGTCTAACAAAATACCTAAAATACCTCCCTCATAGATTTGTTGGGGGAAGTAGGTGAACTAATATATATAAAATGCTTAGCACAATACCTGCTGCATAAATAAATATTAATAAAAATGGTAGCTAATATAATTATTACCAATATCATTATTATTCAGAAGTAGCTCTTCAGAATACCGTGTGTGCATTATATCGTGTTGGACAATTTTTAATTTTTATTTATTTATTTTTTAAATATTTATTTATGTTTTTTTTTTTTGGCTGCATCGGGTCTTAGTTGCGGCACATGGGATCTTTCATTGCAGCGTGTGGGCTCTTCATTGCAGTGCTTCTCTCTAGTTGTGGCACACAGGCTCATTAGTTGCGGTGCAAGGGCTCTCTAGTTGTGGCATGTGGGCTCCGTAGTTGCGGTGTGTGGGCTTAATTGCCCTGCGGCATGTGGGACCTTAGTTCCTTGACCAGGGATTGAACCGGCATCCCCTGCATTACAAGACAGATTCTTAACCACTGGACCACCAGGGAAGTCCTGACAATTCTGAATTGGAATGCAGATGGAAACAGACAAATGTGGACACAATGTCCTGCTCATGCTATGAATGAGACTATGATATTAGATCTGGTTAGGCCTCAAAATAATGATTTTCAGAAACTTCCTATAAAATAAAATAAAACAAAATAAATAAAATTAAAAAATAAAATTCTATGCCCCCTTTCCCAGAATTATAGTATTTCTATATATAACACAACAGGCTTTTTTTTATTTGTAATTTCATTTTTATTCTTATTGAAATAAAGTCATTTTAACACTTTTTGGCCTAACCAATGAACACGATTTGGGTTACTGGTAATATTAAATATCATAAGGCTGTCTCCTTGAGCAGGAAGAAAGAGATGCAAATACCTGGGGTACATGTGCATTTCATGCTACCTCGATTATTGACTAAGTGCCAGTTAAATTTCCCTTAATTCTACCTAAGAAGATGTGGTCTCCACTGATTTCTAGAAGAGTTAATTTTAATTAAAAAAACTTTTTCCATGTATTCAAATAGCATGCGAATATAATAATATTCACTGCTTGATAATGTACAGAAGTAACGTGTCTCTATGTACAAAGGCAAGTGATATGGGTTTTTGTGATTTCCTTAAATAACATCATTTTATATATTTTCACACTCACAGCTATACATAGTCACAAAATGTTCAACTTTAAACTATCCCATTTAAAATGACATTCTTTATTTTTATACTCTGTAGAATTTATACTCAAAATAGCATTTCCTTGTCCTCCCATCACCACCCCCTTTTCAATTCCCAACTTGGGAACATTTCGACCATCCTTTCTGGCTGGGAGGAAGTCGGAGGATTTCGTCTCAGAAATGTTCAGCTTCCACCCCAGCTGGGCGTGCTCCCTGGTCCCTCCACCCTTCTCCTCAAATCCCATCGCCAGCCTCCATCTCTACGGAGGACACAGAAAAGAGGGGCAGTTGGTGCAAACGTGGACAGCTTCATCCTCTTCTGCCTCCACAATTTCCTTTAAGAGCAATAACTGATGTTTACTGAGCATTCACTGTGCTTACTCTTCATCCTGTCTAGTCCCCCAAATAGCCCCAGCGTGCAAGCACCATTATGACCCCTTTTCTAAGACTGAGGAAACTGAGGGTTAAAAAGGTTACAGAACTGTTACTCCCCTGAGAAAGACCAGAAATGGGATTCAGATCCCTGTCCTTTGCTCAGAGAGGTTGGTTGGTCTCTCAACCTTTGTGTCAGTGTTTCTTGAAAATCCCCTCGGGGTATCTCTTCACAGTAGTCAACTGAAATCCCACCACCAGAAATAACCAATATTAAAATATTGGAGGGCTTCCCTGGTGGCGCAGTGGTTGAGAGTCCACCTGCCGATGCAGGGGACACGGGTTCATGCCCCGGTCCAGGAAGATCCCACATACCGCGGAGCAGCTGTGCCCGTGAGCCATGGCCGCTGAGCCTGCACGTCCGGAGCCTGTGCTCCGCAATGGGAGAGGCCACAGCAGTGAGAGGCCCGCGTACCGAAAAAAAAATATATATATATATATTGGATATTTTCCTTTTAATTTTTAAATAAATTATATTAATTTCTTTGAGAGTTATGATAATGTTATATGTACAAATTTTTATCCTACTCTTCCCCCTTAACATTACATTTTGAGTGTGCATTTTTTTAAATGGTACATATCAGACCTACTTTTCATTCCCATGGCACACAAATTATACCTACATAGCAGGTGTGAATTAGAAGTAAAGAAACAGATATAATTTCCAGCCTGCCAGAGCCTTCCTCATGACCCTTCCAGTCAATAACCCCCCAATAAAGCCACTACTCTGAAATCTACCACCACAGATTAGTTCATTTATATAAAGTTCTGCTCTTGAATTTCATGTAAATGGAAGAATACAGTATATTCTTTGTGTCTGGTTTCTTTTGTCTGTGAGAGTCATCTGTGTTATTACAAGTAACAGTATCATTGCATGAAGTTTTCACACAATCATCTTTTGATGTTGCTCCTGCTATAACTTCCCAACTAGTTCAACCAAATCTGCTTTTGACCTCTTTCTATTCTTTTTTTTTTTTTTTTTTGTGGTACGCGGGCTTCTCACTGTTGTGGCCTCTCCCGTTGCGCAGCGGATGTGCAGGCTCAGTGGCCATGGCTCACGGGCCCAGCCGCTCCGCAGCATGTGGGATCTTCCCAGACCGGGGCACGAACCCGCATCCCCTGCATCAGCAGGGAGACCCTCAAAAACTGCACCACCAGGGAAGCCCTCCTGACCTCTTTCCAATAAATTTTCCATACGGATGCCAGAAATGTCTTTCTATAAAATAGATACGATCTTGTCCACCGCAAAATCTTTGCCTGAAGGATGAGGAAGCCATCCCTGACTCCTTTTACACACTCTTCTTGTCAAAGCTCCTGTAGGTTCTTTCTTTGAACTTGCCTTGTCTTGAATGATATACCTGCATGATCATCTGTGAGTCTCTCCCACTAGGCTATAACCTCCAGGAGGTCAGATTCTATCTTGTTCATCTATGTATACCCAATGTCTAGGATGGTGCCTTATACATAACAAAGAAATATTTGTTGAATGAATAAATGACGTGCCACTAGTTTCTCATTTGCGTTGCTGATGGAAATTCTAATTGTCCTTACTTCATGGCCACACTAATTTTCCTGTTGCATACCTCTAATCATATTATTTCCCCCAGCCTATGACCTCCACATTGCCTGCACAATTAAGTACATATTTTCACTTAGCACTTTAGGATTCTCAAAAAGCCTTCCTGGACCTCTACTATTATCCTTGTGTAGCTCATGCTGTAGCCCAAAAGGAGTGATTGGCTCCCCCTTGAACCCATCTCAACCTTCCCAACCCTGCACCTTTGCACCTCTTAATCATTCCTTCTACCCAGATTGCCCCGTCAACACCAAGCAATCCTTCTAGCTCATCTCATTGTCACCTTCTCTGTAAAATAACTCTTAATCCTTCTCCACAAAATGTTAAGTCTCCTCTCAACCAACAGCATGAAATACCTTTTCGAGTACTACAATGTGCCAGTACTTTTCTAAATGTTTCATGTATATTAATCATTCAGTCTTATGAAATAAGCATTGTTGTCACCCACACGTTATAGATGAGGAAAGGGAGTCACAGAGATATTAAGTTTACATAGATTTCCTTATTAGAATGTAAATATATCAGGCAGCTGCTCTGCATCTTGCCCATCTTTGTCGCCTCCATCTTGCCAGGCACATACATGGTATGTGAGTAATTACCAGGCACTGCACTTTACATACGTGATCTCATTTAGCAGTGCTCTTGGGGGTGTATTTATTTTGCAGATGAGGGAACTGAGACTAAAAGATAAGGTGACACAGCTAGTAAGGGGCAAGGAGAGGATTCAGCCCTGGGTCTGTTTGTCCTTAAAACCCAAGTTCTTACCACTGTGCTCTGTGCCTCACTGATACCCCTGCGGTATTGGTATTCTGAGTCAAACCACTGCTTCTGGGCCAGCTAGTTCCTCACAAGCAGGACTCTGCACCCTCAATGTCCTGCTTTTCATGTGTTTCAGATTCTGGTAAAATGTAGTATGATGCAAGCCATCGTCCCTGCGAATTGCATGCTGTAGAGTAGAGGGACAAAGGGGTCTCTCTGCTCCAGGGGCCTGCAGGGGCGAAGCCCCGCAGTGCAGAGCAACAGGTACCTGACTTTAGTGGGGCCAAAAGCGAAAGGTGGGACAGCATGTAGGGACTGCAATGAACCCGTGTTCATTATCTACAGCAAAGCTGAAATTCCAGCCCGCTTCTCGCCAGTCCTTTGGTCACATCTCCATATCCTTCTCTACCACGCGTTCAAAAATGACAAACTCCGTCCACCCTTAACTGAAGCAAGAAACGGTCTACAGTGTTCAGCGGGCACGAGGAGGATGGAGTGGGAATAGGCAGAGTGGAGGGAAGAGGAGGGCAAGACAAGGAGAAAGGAGAGACGAGGGGAGGAGAGAGGAGAGGAAAAGGAAAAGTGCAGAC